CAAGCCCCACAACCAACATAAGTAAGTAAATAAAATAGAAATAAAAACTGCTGGGTGTTGGTGGCTTATACTTGCAAGGGCTACTCAGGAAAGGCCAAGATCTAAAGATCACAGTTCAGAGCCAGCCTGGGCAAGAAAGTCCACAAAACTTTTATCTCTATAATTAAATTCGAAAATGCTGCACTTGGAGCTATGGCTTAAGTGGTAGAGTACTAGCCTTGAGCAAAAAAGCTAAGCAACAGTGTCCAGGCCCTGTAAGTTCAAGCCTCAGGACCAACTAACCCCACCAAAAATACGAAGGAAAAGAATAAATAATTTTTTAGAAGCATGTTTAAACTACACTATGAAGAGTCAAGTAAATAACAAGATTGAAACTGCCTTGGTAGATGCATGAAGACTATGTAAAATAAATACTTAAGTAGAAATGCTAGTTAAAAACTGCAGAAGTGTGTCACTTCATTACTATGTGATTTTCTTTCCTTTCCTAGCAAGCTATAAATAGTTACAAGTTGTCCTCTAATAACAGACAGAAACTAACTCAATTCACTTCTCATCTCTTGATCACATTTCCAGTTGTTCATTCACACATTTGCTTTTTGTCTCCCTCCCCTGAACTGTCAATCTGTTATGTCTCTCATTTCTCAAGATGACCTTCTAATGCTGCCCTTCTCTCTGTATCTCTGATTACCTGACTTTCTAACTGCCTGTGTAACTATCCACCTCAGTGGTTATAAAACTTCTGTCTCTGACAGGCTCTCAATCTCTGCCCATTGTGTCTATATGACTGTACTGTTCAGATTCTGCCTTACTCTTCTCTATATCCACCCCATATTCAAGACATCCTTCTTGGCATCCTTTAACTTTTACAAATAAGCAGGTATTATTATTATCCCTATTTTGCAGGAAAATAGAAACCGGACTATTAGCATAAATTGAAAGAATTTATACTTATGTACTTCCCTTCTTTCTTTAGTAAGTTTTTGACTTTCCACAGCAAACAATTTTAAAACAACCCAACTATAAGCCAATATTAACAGATTCTTTTCTAAGCAGTAAATCCAATATTAAATTCATATCACCATGTTATCAGGTTAACCTGTGTTACTATACTACACATGAGAACTTGAGGTTTTTAACAATGCTTCTGTTTTTATTCCTATGCCCAAATCAGCCATTTTTAGAAGAAGGAAGAGAGAGAAAGATAGTGAGAAAGACAACAAGAGAGGTGGGAAGGAAGGAAATGGAAGAAGAAAAGGAAAGTGGGGGCGGGAAAAACAAATATTAATAAAACAAAGGAAAATCTGAAGAATGGAAAATTACATGCAAGGCTAGTATGGAACAATGAAGAAGTGCATACCACAGACTTGTAAGTTGGAGAAAATTCTCTTCAAAGATAGGCTTTCTGTTATAGAGCAACACTCCATAAGGTTTCTTCTATCTAATGCACAGACAACTAGAATTTCTCTGTAAGTCTATACAGTTAGGACCTACCCAGCCCCATCCATCCTCCTACTGGGCTCATTAATAGAGAACTCTAAATATTTTCCCACTAGCAAAGAATGCCTTTTCTTATGGGATACATAGAAATTTCAACCCAAAAACAGTTTACTTATTACTTTTCTTATTGGTGAGAAGTCATCAACAAATATAATTCAACAACTAAAAGTAATATCTAGATTATAATTCAGGTTAGTGGTTGTCAAAGTCATCATATATGTTAACAATTTTATACATACCATAAGGACTAGTCTTCTAAATATTTAAGACTCTATACAGGGGCTGGGAAGGTGGCTTAGTGGTAGTATGCTTGCTTAGCATGCATGAAGCCCTGGGTTCATATCCTCAGTACCACATACACGGAAAAAGCTGTGGTGTTGCTCAAGTGGTAGAGTGCTAGCCTTGAGCAAAAGAAGCTTAGGGACAGAGCCCAGGCCCAGAGTTCAAGCCCCAGGACTGGCAAGGAAAAAAAAAAAGATTCTATACAGTTCCTCATGCGTTCATTCATTGTACTTATGTCTAATGAACTACATAAATACCAGACAAAATACACTTTTTTTCATTTATTTCTGGTGGAATATTTGTATTAAGCTAATGGAGACAAGGTCACAGATTCACATTCCATGTTTGCCACTTAGCTTTGTAATGTTTCAGGTTTCATGGTCACAATCAACAATCCTGAACCCTGGCTAACAAGGACATACTCATCACATGAAGGATTAGGAGAATGACTACAGGTGTAAAACCAAATCTATTACTATTAGAAAAACACAATAATAAAAATTAGAAATAAGCAGAACTAGTATATGCTTAGTTCAAATAATCTTTAATCATTTCAGCCATGTAGAGCTAATAACATTGTCCCTGCTTTACAGATGATGATAGTGAATAGATAATGACTATGTGAACCAATGTCACACCCAGCAGTCTGGATATAGACCTTTGTCTCACTCCAAAGCTTAGGTTATTCTCACTATACAAAGAAGCCTCTCCTGAGCATGCTTCCGTGACACAAGATAATAAATGTTCTTATTCAGAACTATTCAGCACCATCACTAAGCACCCAATATGCAGACTTAGCTGCTACATTTGAGAATGAAGTCTACCTTCCAAATTCCTTTTAATTAAGAGTCAACAAGCAAAGGAAATAGCACATAATGGCAAACAAAATAGTTTTCAATGAAAATGACTACTGCCAGAATTTGGTGGTAGTAGGGTGTGAATTCAGATCCTCAAGTTTGCTAGGCAGGTGCTCTACCACTGAGTCACACTTCCAGTCCTGTTTTTCTCTAATAACAAAAGAAAAAAGGAAAAAAATCTAAGTAGAAGTTCTCAAAATGCAGGGTAATTTCTTTTTGCAAACAACTACATTTCTGACACAAATTATAGGAGCCAATATCTAGTACTAGGATTGCATGTCAGAGCAGCGCAAGAGAATTTTTTAAAGCCTGCCAATTAACGTTAACTATCCTCATTTTACAAATAAGTTTCCTGACAAATGCCTAATCATGTTTTCATCATCATCACAGTCAAAAACAGCAACATAATAATTTACTTTCACCTGACATTACTATGCCTTTTATTATTTTATCTCACTTCATCCTAACAACATTGTTAGGTGGTAAATGCTACTAAATCCACTTTAGAAATTAGTAAATAGACTCAAGGAAGTAGATTTGTCCAAAGTTAAAAACTAATAGTAAGCCTCAGCACCAGAATTCGAACTCTAGTTCATACACCAAATATCAGTGGCATTTTTACTGCCATTCTGTATTTTCTGAGCCAAGTACGTCAGGGAAAAACACAAAAAAAAACAACAACAAAAAAAAAAAAAAAACAGCTGAAGACAGGCTGGGAATGTGGCTTAGTGGTAGAGTGTATGGCTCGCATGCAAGAAGCCCAGGGTTTGATTCTTAAGTACCACATAAACAGAAAAAGCCGGAAGTGGCATTGTGGCTCAAGTGGTAGAATGTTAGCCTTGAGCAAACCAAGCTCAGAGACAGAGCCCAGCCTCTGAGTTCAAGCCCCAAGACTGGCAAAAAATAAAATAAAGTTACCTCCTAACTGTATCATAAGACTCTGTAACAACTGGTTACAATTTCCTTTTCTCTACAAAGGAAAGAAAAAAAATAAGCAACCTGCTTAGAATTTGTGCTCAACCTATAGAAAATAGGCTGGAATATTAGCTCATTATACTCTGAATTCTGTGAACTCAAATATAACCAAGATAAGTGAAAATAATCCTAGTATTTCTGCCAGCATGAGCACAGGTTAGTGAGTGGGACTGTGTAAGAAGCAGAGTATGTTTAGTTTAGTGCATGAGTACTACGTGTAAGGAAGAAAAAGACATATGAACTGCTGGAGGCTGGTTATCAATCAATTCAGCAACATAGCTGGGGGCCAAAGTGCCTCCTCAGATGCTTGGACCTGTGTAGTGCTGAAAAGGTTCTAACAGAGCATAAAGGGGTAGATGGAAGGCTGTGTTGGAGAATAGAGAAGAATCCGAATGGTGAGCCTTAAAATCCAGAAGTTTAAACTTTGGTCGACAGGAGGTAAGGCACTCCTCCTCCCTTGGGTCACCTCTTCACTAAGAAACCTGGCATATATCGACTGTATTGGTTCCCAAGGGCCGTTTATTAACTCATTCGATCTTATAAACTCATTTGACTTTTTATAATGAATGTGTAGTTTTAAAATTCGACCGACCAGGACTAGAGACAGGAGGAACATTAAGGTTATAGTTGTACTCCAAAGCTTTTGCATGCATGTATCACTTCTGCTGACTCCTACAACCCTGGAAGGGAGAAGAGCAAAAAGACCCATTTTTTCAGATAGGGATATCAAGGCAGCAGCAAGCGGGACTACAAGAAGATCCTAGGTCTAGAAAGCGTCAGGACTCCTCCCAAGACATCAGACACCACACCGGGAAGAAAACTTTGATACCGGGACTTGGGAGAGTTCCCGGGGCCCGACCCAGAAGAGCAGGAAGTGCAACTCCTCCCCGCAGACTCCAGTCCGTAGCCCCGAGCTCCGGGACAGCCGGGCCGACGGGTTCGCCAAACTGACGGCCCAGGAAACCGCCAGCGTGTCCGGGGTGCGGGGTCCGGAGCGGGGGGCACGCCCTGCGGCCCTCGTCCAGGGAGCCCTCCGGGGTCGCTCCACACCCTGCCCTCGCTACCTGTTGAACCGAGGAAAGGGACGAGCCCTGCGGCAGGGAACGCTAGCAGCGACGCCGAGTAAGGACAGCAGGGGTCCGGAGGTCCCCGAGGCCGCCGGGCCTGCGGGGGTCCCGGGGTCGAAGGGCAGTAGGTCACCAGTAACCTCCGCCCCAGGCGGAGGCCGACCCTACGCGTCACGTGAGGGGAAAAATTTACCGGTAACAAACACAACAAGAGAAGAGATTTTTGTCACACGCCACGAAGAGAAAAGTAGGGACCATGAGCCTCTGGTCGGGGTGTGAAGGGACAGAGAAATATGGGGGGGGGGGCGGGGGTCGTGGTTACCGGGACGCCGTGACTCTCTGCTTCCGCCGCCTCACCGCAGCTCCCGCTCTTCCGCTCGCCGCTGGGGCGCGCACCAGGCCTAAGCCACGCCCCTTCCGCAGGGCCTTCTGGATACTGTAGTCCGCGCGGGATGCGGCGGCGCCTCCACGTTACGTCACGTTGAGGCGGGGCCTGTAAGTGGCGGGGCGGGAAAACGTCGAGCCTCCAGCCCCCTTCCGCCCTCCACGGCGGTCCTGCTGATGTCTCCTCGCGTCCGTCTCAGTTATCCGTCTCCTCTCTGTTCACAGCCACGTCCTCCGAAGAGTAGTCGACACTCAGAGTCTCCGCTTCCTCCACTCTGCACCCCCGCTTCTGTTCGCCCCGCAGCACACGTCCTTGTCGCCCGTCTGTGTCCCTGCAGCCAGGCCCACTGGAGGTGTTTTCGAGCTCGTCAACTTCAGCGTTAGTCACGAGACGCTGTGAGACGTTATCATTTATTTTCTATGACACCTACCCGGGTTTGCCCTCCGCCTTTCCAGGCAGTGCACTCGGTCCCCTTCGAGAATGCACCGACGCACCTCTCAAGCATTGCTGTGGACGCTGGAGAGGCGAGGCTCCATCCCTTCCCTCCAGAGCCCCCGCTCCGCAGGCGTCTCCGAAGTACCTAAAGTTGGTGGGTGTAGCTCAGTACTCCCGGATTCAACTTCCAGCACTACGAAAGGGAAAAAAAAGCGAACTACTACCCCTCTTCATATTCTCTCTCTCTCTTCCCCCCCCTCACTCTCTCTCCCTCCTCCCTTCCTCCCTTCCTCTCCTTCCCTCTCCTTCCCTCCCCACTCTCCCCCGCCCCCTCGGAGCCCTCTGCCTCTTTCGCCATGTTCAGATGGTCAACAAATATTGTCGTTTCTCTTATTCCAACTCCTTGTGTCTGTTTCCATTTCACCTCCACTGCGGGTGATTTAATTCCTGCCCGCCTCATTTCCTAGCTGATTACTGTGTGGGCTTGCTTACTGATCTCAGTACCTCTGTGGGGTCCTCCCTACTGCCTTAGGCCAATTAATGTAAATAACAAGTTTAATCAAGTCGTGTTTGTGTTAAAAATCCTTTAAAGACTCCATTTGATTGAGTTTGAAAAGAGGAATGGAGGTTAACACCTTGCCTACCTTTTTCAAAACAGGAATCCCAGAGGCTGGGGATGCAGCTCAGTGTTAGAGTGCTAGTCTAGCTTGTGCACTGCAAAGCAGAGGGGCCTCCCCAGCCCAGCAAGAAAACAAAATATATGAACCTTACTCAAAAAAAAAAAAATCCCAATCCACTGTTATCCCTCCCATGCTCTATTGTGGTTGAGAGGTTTAGAAAAGGAAGATTTACATCAAATTTTATTGTAAGGTAGGTAGGCATGGGCATTTTTTTTACAAGTTCCCCAAGGATTTTTTCAACAAGAAATGTATTTTGTTGTTTCTTATGTGTCAGTGTTGTTTACTGAGAAAATAATAATGAACAGAAGATTCTCTTCCCCTGTGGGGTTTACATTATCTTACAAAAGATGTATATTAATCAAATAATCCCATACCAAAAAAAGTAACAACAATAAACGTAGACATAGTTAGGCAAACATACTACCATATGTGATAAGAATAATGGAAGAAAAGTTATTGTCCTTTTTCCCTTCTATTTGCCACCTGCCCCAGTCTAATTTGAAAATCAGCTTATGTTAGCCTAACAAGCAAAGCCTGTAGGAAGCCAATCTTACACACAAATACACACACACACACTTTTTTCCCACCTACGTCTAAAATTGCCAAACTATTGTATTATACTTGTTTTCTCACCTTTGCATAAGCTGTCCCTTTTTTAATTTCCTTTCTCCCTTGACTAACTTCTGCTCTAATTCTCCTTTGTTAGAGTCAAAGCAAACCCAGGAGAACTCCAGCCACATGGAAGGATTTGCTGAGAATTCAACTGAATTGTTTGATAATGCCAAGGTAAGCAGAGATGAGCTGAGTAGAAAAACCAGGAACAGTTGATTGTGGACTACTGGGAGCAGGACTGTGTTAGCCAGTTTAGAAGCTAGAGGCCTGAAGTCAACAAACCACAGAACTAATATCATTTCCTCCAGGAAGCCTTTCCTGAGTATTCCCTATCCCCAACTCTTTTCCTGAGCACTCATTGTTTTTGTTTGGAAAAACCAAGTAGGAGTCTATCTCTTGTAGTAGGCAATGAGAAATAATGAAACTCTTAACAATAGGATGAAGAGAAGTGAGTAGGTTTGACACATTAAGTCAACAAGACTTGCTAAAGATTGACCACAATGGAGGATGAGCTAGTGAAGAAAGATCAAACCCATGGTACAAATAATTGGTTAGATCCATCTCCATAACTTCAGCCTAGGATTAGGTCTGGCACATAGTTCATATTCAATAGTTGAGCTGAATGAATGCTAACCTGTACCTCACAAACGTCAAACTGCTTAAGACAAGCCCTCTACTAACCCATATAGTAGCACAATTTGCCTCTTGTACAAATTAAAAAGACAAATAGTTTAGAGCGCTAGCCTTGAGCTGAGGGACAGCGCCCAGGCCCAGAGTTCAGGCTCCACGACCGGACCCAAAAAAAAAAAAAATACAAATAGTGCCACCTTCCTTCAGGGTACAGACTGGTAAGCAGTGTATGGACTGCATTCCATCCTCCCTCTACCGCTCAGCAGATGCCCTTGTGCAGTGCACAGTCTGCACGACCACATACAGCAATACAGTTTAACTTAGCATCCCTGGGAGACAGTTCTGTGGCATCAAGCCCAGTATTCATGGGGAGACTTTGAGGTCCAGAGGAAGGAAGCTACTTGCCTGGGGTCACCGGAGCTGCTGCTGTGACTGAGACTCAAACCTTGCCATCCAGCTCCCTGAGGGCTCTTTAGCCTTGGAGCCACATTGTCTCTCCCAGATCACTCAGCCCATCAATAAAAAGCTAAATTCAAAATGGTGACTTTGCTTCCTTGAGTTTCTCATCTGTCTCAGTTACTATTGTTAGAGTCTTTAACATTTATATAGTGCCCCTGTATGTACCGTGCCTTACAAAATACAATCAAAGAACATGAAACCAAAAGACTTTTTTTCAAAACAGAATAAATAAGGAATGGCTAGTTTAAAGGGCCTTTAGCCCTTGAATGAACATGAGCTGTGGCATATTGGTTTATGGTGATATTGTAATCACTATCAAACAATAATGGATAATAATTGCTCACATGCAAGCTGCTTTTCTTTACATCCCCAACCAGAAGAAGGAGAGGCTATTGAAACAGCTGGTTCCACAAATGTGAACTAGAGAAAGAGTCAGGGTGGAGATTTCAAGGATATAGGAAAGAAAAGAAACAGAAAGAAGAAAATCTCCCTCCTTTAATAAACAATAGCATTTAACAGTTAACAGCATTACTAATGTGTGCCAGGAGCCATGCCAAATCCTTTACGTGCCTAATCTGGGTTGGTCCTCATACAAATCCTGTCAGGGAGGAGCACGTGCACCATCATTTCACATCTGGGGAAAAAATGTAAGCATACACATAGAGATTACATCACCTGCCTAAGGCTATACTGCTAATAGGTGACAAACCAGATATCTGAACAGAGACAGCCTGGCTTCCAAGTTTGAGCTCTCAACTACTCTATTATATCACTTTATTCCTCTCAGAGGCTCCTAGGGCCAGATTCCTAGCTTTAATAGTGTGACCCTTTTGAGTCATGACTAACAAAGGGTATCTGATTCTCAGACCCAGGGATTTGGTATTGCCCATCTGCTCAGTAATTGGGGACATGGTTATCTCCAGCCTAGTTTAAAAGTGGACAGTTTAAACAAAGCATATACAAGAGATAAGAAATATATATTTGTATATATATATATATATATATCGATAATAAAAGTCCTAAACCTGCTGGAAGACATCTCTGAGTTTCAATATTCTTCTGATATAATATCTGTAAGGTCTGCTCCTGCATGGTGAGCAGACTTCACCCTCCTCACAGCAAAGTCTCCACCCAGTATCTGCATTACCTAGGCAACTGGCACACCTGGAAGAGGTCACACCTGCATCCGCTGACGTCACATCTGAATTTGATGTGGCCACACCTTTCTCCACCATACCCTAGATAAGGCCTAACCCAGGGCCCAGATGCCCTCTTGCCCAGCTCTCTCTCTTTCCCAGCTCTTTTTCTCAGTTCTCTTTCCCAGCTCTTTCCCAGCTCTCTTTTCCAAGCGCTCTCTTCTCTTTCCCAGCTCTTTTTCCCAGGCCTTTCCCAGCCACATGGAGGGCCAACATGGCCTGGTGCCAGCCAGAACGATGAATAAACCTACCCCTTACCTGAATACCACATGCGTGGTGCTGTTCTTACTCACCTCTTTTTAAAAACCTAACATACCTTAATTACCATACAGTATGGAAGGTGGAAGAGAAAATATCATCAAGAAAGGAGTAAACAAGCCTTCCTCTTGGAAATGTGGGTCCTGATTAGTGCCTCCTAACTTAAGGGTTCTTTTCATTAGTGATTTTCAACACATAAGCACAGAGAATCCAAATTTTATTGGGCTTTTGAATATTAAGTCCTTCCCAGTGACTAACCAGTCAGTTCTACTATTTTGAATGCCTTGGGTCCAAGACATCAAGTAGAGGATCTGGGCTTTTGTTTTGTTTTGTTATAGGACAATAGTTGGGCAGGACATCTACAGACAGCTCCCTTTAATTAATGGAGAAAAGTAGAACGCTTATCAAATGACAATGACTCCAGACTACAAAGTCTAAGTTTAGGAACCCAGAGGACTCTCAACTGTCACTGGAGCCACTTGTTAAAGTACCTAGAAGCAAATCCTGCTCTGGCTGCATTTCTGGGCTATGAGGTCACAGCCTCTTCTGCTATTATCCAACTATGTGAGCTGTGCCAGCAGCCACCACCACACCAGCACACATATCCACCCACTTTCTACTTAGCCTTCCTGCACCAAGACTGTCCGACCCTGCTCTTGATCTCTAAGCTAGTATGACTCGGCTCTGCAACACCACAATTGCCCACATAGTGGGAAGGGCTCAGCAATATTGTGCTGACGTTCAT